TATAGCATTTATAGCTAGATTAGCCAATAGTGTGAGTTTGGGGTGGAACTACATGTTAAACTACCAATAGAAGAAAGGAGCCTAAATAAATTAGCTTGCATAAAATGATATACATACAGTAGTAAGGGTGTAACAATATATTGTGTCACGATATATCGCAATAGAAAAATGCAACAGTGTATATTGTGGATAGCAGCAATATGTATTGCATAAAGTTCACACAAAAAAATTATGTTTAGACAGATTTAATTTATTCACATATAAATAATAATCAAAGAGTGCATCAAATATGGTAAACCCAGAAGCTTGCACATTTGAGCTTCTATGTTTATTAATTATTATTAATAAATGAAAAATAAAATACATTAATATTATACAATTAAAAAATGAACATTTTGTGAGCGTATTAATGAGTATCAAATAGAAAGATATTAGGGGTGATAAACTCATGTCACAATTATATATACTATATGTAATTGAATTTTCTTATAATCCATTGACAAGTCTAATAAATTCAAGTCCCATCTTGCTTTCTTTTTCTATGTGATACATATGTGAAATAAAAAGGATTGCAAATGCGGTTTCCTGTCGGCTTTAGGATGTGTTTTATTCCACTTATTTATATTGCGTCCCTGTCAGCTCTCGCTAACCTTGTAAACAGCAGCAGGTATAAAGACACCACTCTCATTAAGTGGAAATGCCATTAGAGACTAATTCATAATCAGATGTATTGTTTTATGCAAATGGGTGTTAGCGTGTGCGTGCGTGTATGTGGATGCATGCTGTGTGCAAGCACCTGTCTGGGAGCCAGACCTAATCAAAGCAGGGTGCATTTGAACTCCTTTTGTGTAAGATTAATTGGCATAATTGTGTAAGCTCTCCTTGATGGTGGAGAAGGAGAGGAGACAGTGTCACCAGCAGGATAATCCATCTTCATAGCAGCAGCCCCTTTTTTTTCCAGCCAGAGAGGAGAGAGATCGAAAGGGAGGGAGGGATGCATGCCGTTTCTATCTTATTTGTAACTGATGCGTCTACCTGGACATTCTATAGATCAGTGCTTCTAAACTAGCAGGTTGTGACCCTTAAATGGGTTGCAGGAATTAAAAAAATAAAATTAATATATTTGTAAGAAATATTTTTGTACAACTGTATTTAATTATGCATAATTATTAGGCACTTTGGTATTCTGATTATATTTATATATATATATATATATGCAGTATAAGCAGTACAGATTATTTAAAAAATTAAATTCATATATTTATAAGTAATATTTTTGTACAACTGTATTTAAAATGTTCACCATTTTATATATTAAATACATTAAAGCAGTATTTTTTTTTTTTTAGAATAAACAATGTTGGTACTGTGCTGGTTCATCACTTGATGTCTACGACATCAATGACATCGGTGGCCAGAATGCTGCTGAAATGGCAGGATGGATTTCTTTTTTTGCATAAAAAGATAGTGGCAACTCCTGAATCGCACACCTTTTGAAAGTCGTACACTGCAGTAAAATAAATAATACCCATAGGAGAAACACATAAATAAAGGAGATAGGGCAGGGGATTTGTTCTAGATATACAATCAGCTGTTTTAGGTAGGACAGGTCAGCGGATGGG